CGATTTCACATATTTATTACGTATTCTCACTGTTTTCATTACATATTTATGTACATATTTATTACGTATTCTCACTGTTTTCATTACATATTTATGTACATATTTTGACGTTTGATACTACACATTTTTCCATTCACGAGCAATTTCAAGAAATGTGAGACTTCTGATTGTGCACGTTGAAATTTAAAATATATCCTCGCAGCTGGAAATACCTGGAAGGGGAATTCCCTCTAGCCGAAGTGTAGTTCAGCGCCCAATCTCACTTTGCAGCGAAGAAACAACTACGCAAACATCCCGGGATATGACATGCACTACACTAACGGGACTAATCACAGCGGTTGATGCGTCCGGAACGGCAGAATTTCAATCGTCGACAAGGAAGGTAAATGGAAAGACGTACCTCTCTCGAACCAAGTGGATGCGGAAGAGGCCACCAGCGTGGTGTTGGAGTAGTACCGCTCCTCCCCCACTTGCTTTTCGAATCCGGCTTTCGTGGTGCTGTCCAAGTCGATTCCGAAACACACGTCCCGATCGATGCCTGCTGATTGGCTGGCCTCCACCAGGTACCACGTGCCTGAAATCTGCCGTCAGGAAGGAAACTTTAGAAAAGACATTTCTGCGAACATTGCATTCAGTGAATTATATTAATAGTCTTATACGTGTGTGTGTGTGTGTGTGTGTGTGTTGCAATTTCTTGGTGCGTATTTGTGTGTGTGTGTGTTGCAATTTCTTGGTGCGAATTCGTGTGTGTGTGTGTGTGTGTGTGTTGCAATTTCTTGGTGCGTATTTGTGTGTGTGTGTGTGTGTGTGTGTGTGTGTGTTGCCGTTTGTGAATGTGTTTTTGTGTCGTTGTGTGTTGTATGTGCTTTGGTAAATGGCAAAGAATATCCTAAAATAAGACAAATCGAATTATTACGTGTGGGTTTATCGACGAATACAATAACAAAGTTTTGACACACGACACATCACATTTTGCTTGTTATATCTTATAAAAATGTTATTGATTAACAAAATTAATCATAGCATAATTATTTAGTAGGTTTTCTTGCGCGATAATTTATTTACAAACGCTATGTTTATTAAATGAGTACCTCTGTGTAAACAAAACAGAATTTTTAATTAGAAACTAGAAAAAATGTTTCATATATATGAATAATCGTTGTGCAGAAAATGTCCTTAAAAAGTTTATGGAAAGAGTGAAATTTCGCAATTTCGAAATTTATTTTTATTTCTTATAATTATTAATAAATTGAGATGCATGCTATTTCATTTGAAACCTTATAAAATGTTTTAAGTGCATAAATCCTTGTGCAGAAAAATGTCTTAAAACGTTCATAGAAGGAGTGAAAGTTTGAGGACCGTTCTTTTATTTTTCACTCGTATATTTGATACTAATTTTAGGTGAATGAGAAAAAACAACAATCTATTCACACATTTTCTCTACAAGCTATTATTACTCGAACGAATCTTACATGGTTCGAGGATTATTCGTCATTTTTTAAGTGAGGTTTATTTGATGATGACAGCCATATTCCCCAATTTATTCTTTAGTTACTTCTTTAAAAACACGAAATATTGTGCCACCTTGAATTAATGAATTATTATTACATTCTTTTTAATTTTCCGTAACGGATTTAAGCGTCAAATAAAAATCCTAGGAATTCGAAATTTCGTTGTTCCAGTTGTACAGGCTGTATGTATTCGATTTGGACATGTTAAGTTTTCGTGCATAACATTGTGGGTTGACGCATATGTGTTTGTACTTTAATCTGGATCATGCTGTATCTCCTCTTCATGTTAGATTCCGCTCGTCATGTCGAATGTGCTTACATATTCAGATACCGCAGAATCCTGTTTGCAGGTTTTTTTTGCGGTTTTCCGTCCTGACTTGTTTTTTCGCTGCGATGAAATGTTGTGAACATGTGCGGTAAAATATTTGGGGAGCCACTTCCTTGAGACGGTGGATTATCGCGTTGGCTTCTGCAAGAGTTTTGCCTTTGGCTAAGACCTTGCGGTTGCTCCTGTCTTACTATCACTTGACCGTTGTTATCACCAGGTCAGTGGCGTGCAAAGAATAACTATACGTGTTGCAGCATTTCTAGTCGAAAAGCTCTGCAGTGCGACCTCGTCATTTTGCATCTAAATTCTTGTGTAAAAGAAAATTAAGAATTGTCAGTTATTCCGACAAAGAGAGATTGTAATTACCAAATTTCTGAAGCATAAAGTGAAGGAGGATAATAAAATTCGAGATATGAATTAATTCGATTAATTGGACTTCCACTTAATGCGGTTCCTCGCAGAATCAGAAGAAACTTATGTTTTGTTGATAATAATTCCTGGATAATGAACTAGGAATGCGACTTAAACACCACGTTTTGTGATTTTGTTGTTTGTTAATTTTTACTGTGGAGTATGATTGATCTACGAAGTAACAAGGCGTGAGTGGCTCGCCAAATAAGGCTTTCAAATTTACGAAGAAAAAAAAACCAGTTTAAAATAAGTTGAAAAGTACAATATGAATTTTATCTGCTTTGCCACGTTACTTGCAAATCTGCAAATGAAGATTGGTTGTAATCACATGTAAAACATAGGGTTCGAGAGTTACTAAAGGCTAGATAATGTTATATGTTGTTTAAGTAAATAACCGTTCTGAATTACTTTTTTTATTAATATTGTATTTTTCATATGAGCTCTGCGAGGTATTGCTTGTGTAAACGGAATTTTGATGTGTACAAACGTTTATGATAGAAATCATTTATTATGTCATGTTTCTTGCGATGCAGAAAAGGCAATAACGTACTGAATTGTGTTATAAAATGCCTTTTTAAAAAGAATGTAATGCATCGAAAAAGGCGTTTACAAAAACTTTAAAACTTAAACACATTTTACAAACAAATTTCAATATTGTCGCTTGCCACTCAATGTAATCAAAACTCGCTCAGAAATTCTATACGCAATCGAAAGTTAAGTAAAATTGACGCAATCATCCTTCGGTGATTATCATTTCGTATGACATGCATACTGCATTTGTGTAAAGTGATTCATGAACAGTAATGAAGATAAATGTACATTTACGAACAGCTGATGTGTTTGGAGAATGTTCGCTCCCTTTGATGTGTTGTAAAGGTCGGCACGGCATATCGCAAGCAACTCATCTACACTTCTCAGGACGAGCGGTTGTTCGGAATTCGCGGAATACCACCCATATGTTCAAGTTAACTAATTTGAATGGATCCGTCGAGTAACTGTAAGTTTTTGCATTTACGAGACGTTCACGGTTACGTTTCATCAGGAATTCGTTTTGAACCGCTCACCGAATCCCGAGTAGTGTGATGATTTGCTTGCTATTTGCCGGGTGACGAACATTCGGTACTCGCCCTACCCACCGCGCGTCGGTGTTCAGGACACATCAAAAGGAGCGAGCATTCGTCTAACACATCAGCTATTCGGGATTGGGCGAGCAGTTGCTCGCTATCCGGCGAATGCCGAATGTGTGGAGCCGCATTTACCCACCGCGTGTCGGTCTTCCGGTCACATCAAAGGGAGCGAACATTCGCCGAATACATCAGTTGTTCGGGATTGGGCGAGCTGAGCTCTCTGCTCTGCGAATGCCGAATGTGTGGAGCCACCTTTACCGACCGCATGTTGGTCTTTCGGACACATCAAGGGAGCGAACATTCACCTAACACATCAGCTGTTTGAGATTGGGCGAGCTGTAGGTCGCTGCTCGGCGAATGCCGAATGTGTGGAGCCGCCTTTACCCACCGCGTGTCGGTCTTCCGGTCACATCAAAGGGAGAGAACATTCGCTTAACACATCAGCTATTCGGGATTGGGCGAGTAGTTGCTCGCTACTCGGCGAATGCCGAATGTGTGGAGCTACCATTAGCCTACCGACTAGTTGTTCTCCTGCAGACCGCGCCCGCTGTGGGAAAGAAAGGTGTGTGTTGGGGGCAGGGGGAGGGTCGTGCTTGATCTGGGTGAGAAATTCGGGCCAGGACCGGCGGGTTCGAGTTCCCACCGGACCAGAGGCGGGTGAGACGTCTGGATGCGTGGCCGCTGCCGATGCTTCTGCTTCTGCTGCCCGCCAACGAGGTCACCCCCACGACCGGTGTAGGAGCTTCACGCAGCGGAGAAAGTGTCCGGGCTGCGTTCACGGCAGGAAAGGGAAAATCCCCCCTGGAATGCCGGTTTTTTTAGGGGACCCTCATATACACTTTCGGGTTGAGTGACAGTTATTGTCCGGGTTTGTGTGTTCGGTTTAATCGTAGTCTGAACCTTATCATATAGGTTCAGTTATATCTGTCCGGGTATGTGCGTTGGGTTTAACCGTAGCCTGAACCCTATCATATAGGCTCAGTTATACCTGTCCGGGTTTGTGCGTTGAGTTTAATCGTAGCCAAAAGTCTATCATACAGGTTCAGTTATACCTGTCCGGGGGTCTGCATTGGGTTTAACCGTAGCCTGAAGCCTATGATATAGGCTCAGTTATACCTGTCCGGTTTTGTGCGTTGGGTTTAACCGTAGCCTGAAACCTATGATATAGGCTCAGTTATACCTGTCTGGGTTTGTGCGTCTAATGACTGCACCGTAACCGAAAATGTATTTCCTAGGCCCAGTTTTACCTGTCCGGGTATATGCGATGTGTGTTTAACCGTACCCCAGAAGTCTATCACACAGAATCAGTTTTACTTGACCGGATTTGTGCGCCGTGTGATTAACCGAAACCCAAAGATTATCATATAGGCTCTGTTTTACCTGTCCGGGTTTATGCGCCGTGCATTAACCGTATCCCGAATTATTCGGGTTACGGTCAAGGGAAACGCGTGTCATGAACAAAATTTGGAGAGGACGGACATGTCATGACGCGTGTCATGAACAAAATTTGGACAGGATTTCGTTCGTGTCATTTACTCCGGGGTTCGTGACCGTAGACTCCTTTACCTGATCCATAGCCCGCGAGTATGCGTACTAGCTAATAGTATGCTAATAGTATGCATACTAATCGGCTATGCCTGTCACTCCGTATGCCGTTCGGCGGTAGCATCGATTTTCATATACTTTATCACTATTCCTGCTGACGGGGAAGAATTTCTCATCGGCTTTTTTACAGTGATACATTAACGAACAGTTCACACTACAAACAAATTGGAGAATGTGCACTTTCTCTCAAAGATTTTAGTTTTGGATACATCGCAGAACAAATTAAATTATGTTCATTAGGCGATCTCCTACCGAATTCGCCTGGATCCAAATCCTTTCCTAAATGGTGCAAAGTACCGAGGGAACTGATTTGTTGATCTCTTGGGAGGCCACTGGAGGGACTGTGACCTGAGGGTTCTAGGGTTGAAGTCCCGACGATAACGAATATGCGACAGTAGCTAGATCGCTGGATCGAATTCAGCCGCTGCCTGGTGGAGAATTCTAGCGAACGAATGCTCTTTGATTGTGATTTTCCATGGTTTCTTCGATCAGTACCTTCCAGGCGAATGCCGGAGCAGTACCTTAATAAAAGACCCTCGGCCCGCGCAATATTTTCTTCCTCATCCACATGTTCTCGTCTCCCCTTAAGGCCCATTCACAAAGCAAACGTTAACATAAGCATAGCGCATAGACATAAACATGAACACAAGTGATTGACTGGAGTATTCACAATGTCTTACATAAACGTAAGCAAAATAAGAGTTTCTATTGGCCGTGAGACATTCTGGTTTGCTGTTGGTTGGATGTGAGAATCGATTTCAGGGAATGGACTGTGTCCATGGCCCATATGGCGGATCTCTTATACGTATAATATCGGATATTTTACGCCCTTTTGGGCTGCTTTTGAATACTTCACGACCGTTCCGCTATCATCGCAACATGTTTTATGAGTTCGATGTATTTCAGTTAAGAATCAGCAAAAATACATTAATCTAATAAGTATAATGCTCAAATAAGAAAAATAACTCGATATAAACATTATTTTTCGAATTGATATATAAATTGCAATTTTGGTGTGTTTCTGTGAATTTATAATGCCCATCAGTCGCTCTTATTTCACTGTTACATACATACTTTTTAGAGACACATGATTCTTGAGTAGCAGTACTACTGGTAATAATAGAAGTAGAAAGTACACCGGCTAACATCCTCGAAATGTTATTTTTTGTAATGTAATGAAATCTTCTAAATAACTTTCGACAATAGAGTGACTGAAAGTACCGAAACATCTATAGGATTGTTATTTTCCGTATAACTCTCAAATACACCATAATCATTTCCACTTATTTTTCGGTATTTTATTTTTGTTAGCTTTTTCGAGAAATTGCACAGGAAGTAAACAATACTCTTACATTTTGTACGAACAAACCAGTCCACCTACGATTATCGTTTCAGTTACCTTTCACATACCTTTTGCGGCTCTCACGTAAAATATCTTTACGTGATCTTAAGAATTAATTTAAAAAAGCAACCAAATTTAAAATTATAGATGAATATCGCAAGTCATTCGACAACTGCCAACGATCACCATCCAGATGCATAATTTAAAAGTATCTCTGTACATCAATGCATAGTGTATATTCATATTATAAATAATACACCGTTTGACATTAAACTTACGGTGTCAGTTCGCTACGTATTCATAGTTTTAGCAACATTTCAATGTACCGAAGTAAAGTCTAAATCTACTAAATTGTTTCTAATAGTAGCAAATGGTTTTTATTACTCAAAGGTTAAAATGTTTTGTATTTTTTGGCTCGGAGTTGCTTTTCTTGATGTACGTAAGAACGCAGAAAATTATCCAAAAATTTTTTTAGTATACAAATAATTTTCAATTTTCGCACCACAGCAAGCTGGCGCTCTGCCTCTCGACAGCCTCTTCTAATCCCCATAACAAAACCAATAAAGGTAAATTACATTGCAAAGAGTAGGGTTGTAGTTGCTCGATCCTGTATTTTCGCATGGAAAGCTTTACTTGGTTTTATATCTCTACATTACGTACATTACATACTTGGTTACATATCTCTATAATACTGAATAAACCTTATTAAAAAATTGTTTCCAACGTCAATTGCATTGTTTTTATTTTTGCTTGATAGTGTTTTCGTACGAAGTTACATTTACACTTTTTTTAACAAATAAACACGTTTCTTTAACAACTTTCCTTCTTAAAGGAAAGGATAGGGAACGAGTGGGTATTACTCGTACCAGGCGGGGGTTTTCGCTCGGGTACGCTAGTGAAATAGTAATTAGGTTCTGTGGGTTTTTTCTGACGCTGTATTAAAAATGACAATGACAATGGGTCTTTTTTCCATTTGGTGCTAGGTATATTATAAAATGTTCTGAATTCTCGTTTGGTTGAGCAACGAACTAGTAATCCATAAAGTGTTATATGTACCACGGCCACAGGTGTTACATGATGTTGGGCCCTGAAGGCGATTTCCATCTCATCGGGCCAGAGGTCCTCGAGCTTGGAAGCCGCCCTCGGTTTAAAAACGTCTAATTAATGCAGTAGATACAGAACTATTTTAGACGGCCACTAGTAAAAGCTGTTCTTTCAAGGCATGCATAGCGTGCTAAGTTGAATTTTTAACACTAGTGCTGAAAGTGAGATGTCGTGCAAGTGTTTAGATGAATCTGTGAATGCAACAAAGAAAACAAAATATTTTCGACCGACCGCTCAGCTACTACTGATCTTAGTCTATCATTGATTTCTTTGTGTACTTGAATTAAAATAAACCGAAAGTCGATAAGCGTGTCTAAAAAGTAGTGTATGACACGCGTGGTAAACGCGATTGTATTTTGCTCCTAGGATTGTGTCACTCGACCTATCAGCTTCGTGTCATAACCATTCCTACTTGCAACATAAACTATGACTTTTACCACTCGCATCATAAATAACTATTCTTACAATAATATGGTGCTCTTTTTACTGACTTCATCGTGCAATCCGTCCGTTTTTTACACCAACATTGAACCTTTTTTTATTCACAATAAATTCATGCCCCTAATGAGAAGTGCGGATTTCTACAGCTAACTAAGGAAGCACTGAATCCTGGAAATGACCCTCAGGTTTTCAGTCTCAAGTCTTTTTAAGTGTTTTATTATTTGTTGTTTGTTTTGTAAGTTAAATCTTAATTAAAAATTAATAATCACTGTCACTATCTAAGTCCATTCTTCCCCACCCAAACGTAAATCTTAATAAACCGCTTTTAAAATCATTGTATGATGCGATGTATTAGTAAAAAGATGCTTTAATTTTAATCATCGAGATTTTGAAACATCGATATTTTGTTGTCGATCCCTATATTAAATCAACCACGCCAACACGTACGGGCCAGAAACGTCAGTCAATGAATAAATTATCAGCTGAATGCGGTCGATCCTTCGAGAGCTTCTTGATGGCTAATTTCTGGGAATTGACTCACCCGATTGAATAACCGTGACACAGTTGATGATCTATCGGTAAGTCACTGTATTTTAATCTTAATCGTCTTAAAAAGGAGTACGGCAAACGCGAAGAAAATTGCTTATTTATCGCTTGTTCGTCCGATAATGAAATATGGAAACATTTGTTGGGATTTGTAAAACATTATGCCGTGTAAAACATTTGGAAAGTATTCAGCGTAGGGCAGCTAAATTTACTATCAGGGACAAGAAAATGTCAGGATGGGATTCACTCGAAAACAGGCGACCAGTAGCAAGGCTCTGCTTTTATATAAAGCTTATAGTAGCTGTCATCCAGCTTAGAAAGGAATTAATTGGCGTCCAAGTGTTCCATCATATATTAGTAGAGGAGATCACTGGCACAAAATAAATTAAACAATGAAGAGAACGGATGTTGGGAAATTTTCTTTCACAAATCGAGCGATAACGGAATGGAATAGATTGCCTGCAAAGACTTTTGAACCCTTTCCTCGAAGCATTCAACAGTTTATAAAATTAAATATTCCTAAGAAAATGAGGGTCTTTACTAAGAATATTATGTTACATTGCGATGCATAGTGTTATATTGTGAAGTGAAGTGTCGTGCAGTGTGGAAATGATTATTTTACCACTATTTTTATTATTAAACCACCACTATTATTATTACAATTGCCGATCCGGTGGCCGAGATCGCTAAGGCAGTAGTGCCGTAGCGATCTCGACCGAAGGATCGCGGGTTCGAGTCCCGCCTCGGGCATGGTGTGTGTTGTGTTCGTCCTTTCACCCCCTATTATCATCATCATTTCGGGGAAGGCAACGGGAAACCACCCTGACTAATTCATCGTCCCAAGAAAACCCACTATGGGTCACCTAACTGCCGTATATGGTAAATAGGACAAAAAAATTATTACAATTATTTGCAATTTATTTATATTATCTTGTAATGTAAATGTAAGCAGCTGTCACCGGGTTACACCCACTTACAGTTTAAATAAATGTACTTTGAATTGAATTGAATTTGCCTTATTTTACGTGGCGAGACTCGGGCCATCAGCCACTTCTTCGTCTGACCACAGCAAATTTCGCTCCTTTACCAACTAGGGAGAGAAAGGAGGTAATTCTTGGGCGAGAAACAGGCGATTTGAAATTTATCTCAGAGGCGTCATTTAGGCTTGAGGATCTTTTACATGCAAGTACATCTACTACAATGGGACAGCCGGCCTTTACTTCCCCTCCGAAGGAAGGCGTGCGAAGGATTTTTTCGCCCTTAAAAATCCACGTCTTCGATCGGGTTTGAACCCGCCAAGTTGGGTACAACAGTAACTTCATCTTATCTATTGAAAAAAAAGAAAAAAAAAAGGAAAGGAAAAAAAAAAAAAAAAAGCGTCGACCAACGAAGAAGCCCTACCTGTCCCCACGTGACGTTGGTCTGGCGGCGCACGCACTCGCATCGGGGGGACCACTCCTGCAGGGAGCAGGAGGCGGCGGAAGGCCGCGGCCGCGGCTGGCGGCGCCGCGGCCGCCCCACGGCCGCCGCCACCGCCGCGGCGCCGCCGCCCCAGCGCCGCCCCCGCCACCACCAGCAGCGCCGGCAGCACCAGCGCGTGCGCACGCTTCGCTGCGCCATGGCGATCGCCCGCGGAAGTTGCCTCTGCCCCTGCCCCTGCCTTGGCCTCGGCGGCGCCCCGGGCAGATAAGACGCGGTTGCCCCCCCTCTTCTCCGCGTCACGTGGTGCGACTATTGCTCCGGGCGCTCGGCGGCCCTGGACAAGACTGTTCGAGTGTATATATTATTTATTTATATTATTATTATTATTATTATTATTATTATTATTATTATTATTATTATTATTATTATTATTATTATAAATATTATTGGCGTGTGCGAAGTTCACACCCTCCTGCTTCTTACGTGATTGTAACGTGCGTTGCTTAATGTTCATTGAGTGAAGTACGACATTGACGGACGTAATGGTTTCTGTCGCACTGCTGTGCTGTCGATGGCAGTCTGTTTGATCTGAAGAGGTTTCCTCTCACGACGGCTCGTCCTTCTGAACTGGTCTTTGTCCTGCGATACGTACTAAGTACAGTCCTTAATTAATTTATCTAAGTACAGTCCGTTCAAACCCCGAGCAAAGTTTTCGTAGGCTGATATTGTCGTTCCGAACGTTTAACTGCACAGGCACACACAAAAAAAAAAGTTGTTAGACCCAAAGACTTCATTCGTGTTTCACTACGTATTTCGACGCGCTGAATCCGAATCTGAAACCATAATTGCGTCATCACTCTCCAATTTTTATTTTAAATCGAAAGAAAAAACATTTTTTAGAAACTACATTTTAACGGTGTTTTTTCGCGAAAAAAATGGAGGATGGTGGCCCAATTCTGGCGTCAGTTTCGGATTCAATGCGTCGGAATAGAGAAACGTGTGTCAAGTCTTTGGATCTGACCGCGTTTTAAGTGTGCGCCCGTGTTATTAACTGAACCTGATTTTCATAGTTTAGTCTTCATTTGCCCTCGGACTTTTTAAGCCAAATTTCTTGTTTTGTTACTTTTGGGAGTTAGAAAAAATTAAACATTTACTAATAATGAAGAATCTGTCATTTAATAGTTTCTAGAATAGTGGTTTCTATCGGTATTCAATGCTGTTTTGCATGAGAATTTTTAATAATTAACTTCACGTACTTTTAATTATATCTTAGGTGTAGAAGCGCAGTGGCGTGCGAGACCACTGGCGAATTCAAGTAAACTATGAAGGGATAATCATTCACAGATTGTCACTGAATATTCCATGCTTCTGATTGTTTTAAGTCGCTGCAGATTTCAATTCCTCAGTTATGAAGTACGGTGACCTTTCAGTCTTCCGAATGATGTTAAAGCCAAAATGCGCAACGCGCTTAGAAAAATTGGAGAAAATCGCGTTAATGCACAGTCTGCCCAATTATGAAAACGAATTGCATGTGATGTTGATAATGAAGTTTTTTTTAAATGTAGAAGTACTTACTGTTTTACATAAAGAAAAAAGCCGTGTCTATAACTCGCGCAACTTTTCTTGAACGATGACCTTCATCCCCCTCCCTTGTGCAATAAACAGTTGAAGGCAAAAGCTTGCAGCGGGCACTGATGACAACCTTCCAAGCATTAAAACTTAGTTGGCGCGAAACAGAAGCTAGTCAAAGCCAGTTGCTTTCATAGTGCAGAACCCCTGTTCAGATTTATTGTCAATATCGAAAGAAATAGCTGAGTCAGGTTCAGGTCCTTCAAGGGAGTCACCTAAAACTCCCGCAAAAGTGAAGCACAAGATGCAGTTTTGACTTTCATTTCATAGACGTTGGCATTACTTAAAATGCTCTAGTGGCCGACTTTGTAACTAATACCCCCACTCCACCCGAAATCGTCAATCCATCGTTCAAGAAAAGTTGCCCGAGTAATAATTTATTTTATAACCTAATTTCGGTGCATAAACGTTATTTATGCATAAAATCCTGGTGTCTCGTGAGCTTCATCAATACCTTCGATATTCGTGAATCGGCCTCAGAGTATGCTAGAAATCGTTCGATAGTATCGACGGTATCGGTAGTCGATTCATGTATTCCACACAGGGTTTTGACTGCCTGACGGCTAAGCCATCGGTATCTTCCTAAGCAGTAAGTAATGTTATCTATGTGGAGTTATGTGTACATACCTCACCCCTGTAATCTCTTCGCTGTGGACGGGCAGTGCGAGGACGACGATGTGGTGCGTCGGTATTATCACCAGAGCCACCAGGTTCAAAGCGGTGTTGCGTAGCATCTGCTGTCCTCATTATTAACGATAGTTGCTGGCTCATCTTCAACCTGTGCATCATTATTTATATTTATTATTGCATGATAATTCTTGGCTCTCATATTCTGGTGTGTTTCACTTCAGATCTCTTGCTGAAATATCAAGATTTTGTATTATCTCTTTATTATTATTACTATTATTATTATTATGACAATTATTTTAAATGTCATTGTCGACCATCTAGAGCACGGTATTATCCGAGGCCCCGTCATATTTATCCTAGAAAGTTTTTAATCATTATGAGGATCAACCTTTTCGGCTCTATCTATTGATTAAAGTAGGTTAACATTGAGTTATGAATTATGAAGTGTTAGGATGATGATGATGATGATGATGATAATCAGTAATGAAGGGACTAGTACAAATACGTCCATGCCTTATCCAGATTCGAACCTGGGGCCTCAGTGCAGACGTCACAGGGGCTGAGTGTTGTTGTTGTTGTTGTTGTTATTATTATTACTATTAATTTATTTTTGAGTCGCAAATTGGCCATCCTAGGATCACGCGACCGCGTCAGGTGAACCCACTGAGACCCAGACATATTCTCCCAGAGGCAAGTGCACGTGTCCTTTGGGGAAAGGGGTATCAGCACTTCTATACCCAATTCATTTTGACACCCCAAGGTATTTAGCCCTGGGGGGATAAACATTGTCATGCTGATGAAGGATTAGTGGACAATCACAAATATACAGACACAAACACACACAACCATGTCCGAGGTAGGATTCGAACCCACGATCCTTCGCTCCGAGACCACTACGGCTCTACTTCCTTAGCGATCTCGACTACTGGATCGGCTATATTATTATTATTATTATTATTATTATTATTATTATTATTATTATTATTATTAT